ATTCACAGCAGAGTGTAAATACACAAAGGAGGAGGATAGCACCTAAAAGCATTCCTAAAAACACTTATTTCCATAGTGGTCCTTAATGGAAACAGCAAACAATACATAAAAACATATTAAAACATATTATATTAGAAACATGCCCACCCCCCTTGCAACTATGGTTCAAATTACCTCCCTCAAAGAGAGAAAAAATGCTTTTCTTTTCTACAAGTTGAGGCAGAGCTGTCATTACTGTAGCACTTGTCATGTCCTCCACAGATTGTTGTTGCTCATTCATGGTGGTAGGCGTTCTTCTTCTGCCTTTGGCATTTAACGGCAGACCACAGTACTTGTATGTTAGGGTTGGGTCAGTATGAGAAAAAAAAAAAAACGGTCCGGTTTTTGTAAAAAAAAACGCATCAAGTCGGTAATATTGGATTTTCGCCACTTGGGGGCGCAATTGACTCATATAAAATATAAAACGACCTTAAGACAACAGAGTGACAGTAACAAGTTGTTTCTTCTATTCCTTACAAATAAATTTTGCAGCTTACTCAATCAGTGCAAACAAGGGTTGCCTTCTTCGTCTGGCTCAAAACCAAAGTGTTGCTATAGTGACGCATTCTTTGATTTCGTCGAGACTAAATTGTCTGCCATTATCGACTCCCCGTCACTATTAAACAAACTCCAGGCTACAGTAGAGGCCTCGGCGCATGCGCACTCGCATCCTCTAGCTCAGTCCCTGCCCCACCCCCCTCTCTCTCCTGCTCGCTGTGCGCTTGGTGAAGAGGCAGACACAGGTGCTCATAGACTCCGGAGTACTATAAGCAGAGCGGACTCCGTGTAAAAATGTCCGTGAAAAATCCCCGCAATGTGAAAAATACATGCCGAACAGTCTTTTGTGTGACACTGGTGCACGGAGCAGAGTCACAGAGAGTTACACTGACACGTCGTGCTTTGCGCGCACAGGGCTTGCGGACATCCACTTATACCAGGCGGATCTCCGCGGAGTCCGCTCCGCGTACGTTCCGCCCGAGTATGCAGTCCGGTCGGTCTCAAAAAATAAAACCCAGCCCAAGACGGAGTACCGAACTGAAATGGTATTACCGAGAACCGACCCAACCCTATTGTATGTTGCCCTGTAAGGTCTGGAAGAATTGCATCCCAAGTACCAACGTTGATGGATAAAAACAAATATCACCGTGTTTCAGAATTTTGGCGTCTGTACCAAAGTATCGGATCTCATTACATCCCTCGAGCCAATATGAGAGCGTACCCTATTTTGGTACAGTAACACCAGTGTGTCAGAATATTGTCAGTGTAACAGTAGCAGACATGTCAGGGTAACAGCAGCAGACGTGTCCGTGTAACAGCAGCAGACGTGTCAGTGTAACAACAGACGTGTCAGTGTAACAGTAGCAGACGTGTCAGTGTAACAACAGACGTGTCAGTGTAACAACAGACGTGTCAGTGTAACAACAGACGTGTCAGTGTAACAGTAGCAGACATGTCAGGGTAACAGCAGCAGACGTGTCCGTGTAACAGCAGCAGACGTGTCAGTGTAACAACAGACGTGTCAGTGTAACAGTAGCAGACATGTCATTGTAACAGCAGCAGATGTGTCAGTGTAACAACAGAGGTGTCGGTGCAGACGTGTCAGTGTAACAGCAGGCGTGTCAGTGTAACAGTAGCAGGCGTGTCAGCACGTGTCAGTGTTACAGTGGAAGATGTGTCAGTGAAGCAACAGCAGGGGTGTTAGTGTAACAGCAGACGTGTTAGTGTAACAACAGCTGAAGTGTCAGTGTAACAGCAGACGTGTCAGTGTAACAGTAGCAGGCGTGTCAGCACATGTGTCAGTGTTACAGTGGAAGATGTGTCAGTGAAGCAACGGCAGGGGTGTTAGTGTAACAGCAGACGTGTCAGTGTAACAACAGCTGAAGTGTCAGTGTAACAGCAGACATGTCAGTGTAACAGCAGATGTGTCAATGTAATAGCAGCAGATGTGTCAGCAGATGTGTGGGTGTAAGAGCAGATGTGTCAATATAACAGCAGATGTGTCAATGTAACAGCAGATGTGTCTGCTACAACAGCAAATACGTCAGTGTAACAGTAGCAGATGTGTCAGTGTAACAGCAGATGTGTCAGTGTAACAGTAGCAGATGTGTCATTGTAACAGCAGCAGACGTGTCATTAACAGCAGCAGACGTGCCAGTGTAACAGCGGCAGACGTGTCCGTGTGACAGCAGACATGTCATTGTAACAGCAGCAGGCGTGCCAGTGTAACAGCAGCTGGCGTGTCAGTGTGACAGCAGACATGTCATTGTAACAGCAGCAGACGTGTTAGTGTAACCAGTGTAACAGCAGCAGACGTGTCAGTATAACAGCAGACGTGTCCGTGTGACAGCAGACATGTCATTGTAACAGCAGCAGACGTGCCAGTGTAAAAACAGCAGACGTGTCAGTGTAACAGCAGCAGACATGTCATTGTAACAGCAGCAGACATGTCATTGTAACAACAGCAGACGTGCCAGTGTAACAGCAGGCATGTCAGTGTAACAGCAACAGACATGTCATTGTAACAACAGCAGACGTCCCAGTGTAACAGCAGCAGACGTGTCAGTCTAACAGCAGGCATGTCAGTGTAACAGGAGATGTATCAGTGTAACAGCAGCAGATGTGCCAGTGTAGCAGGTGTGTCAGTGTAACAGCAGGCGTGTCAGTGTAACAGCAGTAGACGTGTCAGTGTAACAGCAGTAGACGTGTCAGTGTAACAGCAACAGACATGTCATTGTAACAACAGCAGACGTTCCAGTGTAACAACAGCAGACGTCCCAGTCTAACAGCAGGCATGTCAGTGTAACAGCAGCAGACATGTCAGTGTAACAGCAGCAGACGTGCCAGTCTAACAGCAGGCATGTCAGTGTAACAGGAGATGTATCAGTGTAACAGCAGCAGATGTGCCAGTGTAGCAGGTGTGTCAGTGTAACAGCAGGCGTGTCAGTGTAACAGCGGCAGACGTGTCAGTGTAACAGCAGTAGACGTGTCAATGTAACAGCAGCACAGATCCACATCTGCTGTGGTTTTGTCTCAGGTGCAGGCCACCACCACCACCGCCCAGCCAATCAAAGTTCCTCAGTTTGTCCCTCCTCCTAGACTGACGCCTCGACCCACCTTTCAGCCACAGGTGCGTCCCTGTAAGACCCGCCTCCCACCCTAACCCCCTAAGATCAGTGTGTGTGGCCCACCTCCGGTGACTCGCTCACCCTCCAGCAGAGGGCAGCAAAGCAAACACTCATGCCTTGCTCCGTGGCACTAAAACATTGTTTGCTCTGTGCTGCCTCTACTCATCTCTTCTCCTCTCGTTGTGCTTTTTTTAATTTTTCCGACTGACCTGTGAACGGGTTGTTTTGAAGGTTTCCTGCCTGTGAATGTGTGTGTGTGTGTGTGTGTGTGTGTGAGTGTGAGTGTGTTTACCTTTTGTGGTGAGAGCTTGTTTTCCTGCAGCTTCTTGGTATTTTGTTTTCCTGGCTGTCGGTGTGTTTTAACCCTTTAAGTGGAAACTTGTTATTGATGTTTATCTGTGCTGAGTAATGCCACTGGGAGCACCTGTAGTAGCTGTGACAATAATTGTAAGCAGCTGATTCATGATAGTGGTAGTGTATTTAATTGGTTTTGATAGATCATAAAGACTGCATAATACACAGGCAAGGTCATAAAGGTCATACATAATAAGGTTTACTATTTGTTAAGAGTTACTTTTCTAGGTTTCAAAGAGAAAACAAGTATACACATTACTTTATTAAACAAACAAAACTCTTCCTTTTCCTCCATGTACAGCTGGACACATGTATTAATATTAAATCAATACTGTGATATGAAACTAGATGTTGTCTGAAATTTTGGATATGTAATTTGCTAAATTTGGTCTTTTCCTGGTTTGAAATGCTTCATTACTTTAGAATGATGTCATTTTTTTTAACTTTACAGACTGTTCTAGCTGTTCACTTAATTGCCTATACCCACTGAGTCATTATATATATTTAGTCTCTTTTTCTCTTGTTCTGCACATGATTATGTCTCTGCATCAGCGATAGCTGTTGCCAGAAGCATTATCATATTTTTTGGTTGTTCATCCGTCCCATTCTCGTGAACGTGATATCTTAAGAACACCTTGAGTAAATTTATGTTAATTTGGCACAAATGCCCACATTGAGTCAAGGAAAAACTGATGAGATTTAGGGGTCATGGGTCAAAGTCATTGTGACGTTGCATCCATCTCATTTTTGTGAAGGTGATATCTCAGGAACACTGAGAGAAATTTGGCACAAACTGCCACTATGAGTCAAGGATCAACTGATTTGGATTTGGTGGTCAAAAGTCAAAGTTCAAGGTCACTGTGACCTAGTCCATTGCAACTCATGAATGCGATATGTGATGAACACCTGGAGGGAATTTCTTCAAATTTGGCGCAAACATCTAAATGGACTCAATGATTAATTTATAAGAACCTTGTGGTCAAAGGTCACTCTGACCTTGCATCCCTCTCATTCTTGTGAATGTGATATCTCAAGAACACTTGAAGATAATTTCTTCAAATTTGGCACAAACAGCCACTTTGAGTCAGAATGAACTGGTGTTGATTTGGTGGTCAAAGGTCACTGTGACCTCACAAAATGTGTTTTGTTCATTCAGGAATTCATATACTAGTTATGACAAAATTTCACACAAATATCTAATTGGATAAAATGATGAAGTAATGATGATGCTAATAATCTTTACATCTCACACCATCACGGGCACGAGGCTCCTGCCCATGAGTAGTTGCACTCTTCCTTCTGAGTGGTGATACAGTTGGTTGGTGTTGTTCAGTTCATTCCAATAGTGAGGTCATTTAACTGGAAACCAGTCTGTTCCAGTTCATAGTTCTGTTCTGGTATGAGAATAATAGCCCGTACTTGTAGTATCAATAACTGTGATTATTAGACAGGAAGCTTTTAAAGCATTGTACAGTGGTGCTACACATTCATTGACCTTCTGCTCATATCATCGCTCTACTACAAAAACAACGTTCTCATGACATTTTAGCATAAAACACACAAAACATGTCAGTTATATACTTTGACATGGATGGATAGAAGCAGTAGTACTAGTAGTAGTATCAGTGATGGTAATAGAATAGTAGTAGCAGCAGACTGTAGTGTTGGTATTAGTATTAGTAGTATAGCAGTCAACCTGAGACAGAGCTCCACAGTGGAGTTACTCAGCGGTGTCTGGTCATTGTGGTGTCATTTTCTGATTGGCTCTCTGTTGTCACCAGGTCAGGCCAAAACCGGCCACACCCACAAACATCCACATCGCCCCGGCCCCTCCCCCACCCATGATGGCGGCCCCACAGCTGCTCCAGAGGCCAGTCATGCTGGCGACCAAGTTGTCATCCTCGCTGCCCTCGGCGGCTCCCATTCACCAGGTCCGCATCGTCAATGGACAGCCCTGCAGCAAGACCGGCACCACCCCGCTGACGGGCATCGTCATCACCACGCCGGTCTCCACTGCACCCACCCGCCTAGCCAGCCCTGCCCAGGCGCCCATCCTCACCCCTGTCCTCACCCCGACTCCCGCCCAGCCCATCCAGATCAGCAGCCTGACCCCTGAGCCCAAGGTACGAGTACCTGAGCCAAGTCTGCAGGTTAATAAACGTATGCATGTCAGCTTCTGAAAAATATTGATATATTTTTGTTTGTGATGATAGCAAGAGCATCCATGGGGATTTCTGAGTGCTTTTTATAGGATTATTTTTTCAAATGAGAAATCATAGATGGATATTTCTTTTCAACAAAGCCTTTTAAATTTAGCAAAATTAGATTTGCTAAACGTGGTGTATTTTCTGGTGCTTCAGTTACTGTCTTGTCGTCACAAGAAGATAATAAAATCATCTTTGACAGGATTTCAAATCAAATCAAAGTGACATTTTTATATCTGTGTAGTTCAGTGCCTGGTTGTATTAGGCATCTTAATGGAAGATTTTCCTTAAGAATTGATTTAAGGTTTCCTTCAAATTCATCTTCAGTCCTGTCTTTAGAATAATTCCTTCAGTACTTATGTTTTTAGCCTTATGTTGTGTTTTTATCTTTAGTTGTTCCAAAGTTTTATGAGACAGGAACAACCCTACAGATGCACCAACTAATGAGCAGTTGTTGCCAGATTATAGATTTAATCAGCATTGAGTTTATTCGTTGGCCAACAAAATTGCCCAACACAGCACAACTGAGCTTTCCCTGCTGTCCAACAGCTACTAATTACACTTCGCGTCTTCGCTACCCGCTCCTTCCTGTCTGTTTTGGGGATGCTTTGGAGTCCACAGTATGCAGGGTTGTGCACAGAGTTTCAAATGCTCTTAATCATCATCTGAGCAGCATCATGAAGTTTCCATCAGAGCAGAGCAGGAGGTGCACTCCAAGCAGTTTTTCTCCATCGCTGGATTCCCCCGAACTGAGTTGAGTCAGACGGTAGCTACTCAGCATCATCTTGTTCTGTCACTTCAGCAACTGTAAAGTATTCATAACATATTTAAGATGGACTGAGGACATAGGAAATCAGATTGAAATGTTTGTTGCAGCTGTCTTAAATAATTTCCTTAACTAAGGAAAAATAAAACCTTAAGTGAAATCCTCATCAGAAAAACTTGAGATGCTTCATGCAGCCGGCCACAGACAACACGTCGTTGCTGACCTCCATCATCAGTCTGTGATTGAATCTTGTCCTTACAGCTGTCTTCTTCTTCTTCTCCCCTCAGCAGACTGTTAAACCAGGAGGTGGAGCCGAGCAGAAGGTGGTTGTCACCCTCCCCTCCTCCTCCACTCCCCCGTTGTCTCCTCCTCCTCCTCCACGACCTAAGAAAGAGGAGAGTCCAGAGGTCTGTAGCACAGAGTGACGGCTGACACATGACGGCTTCAGTGTTTCTGTTTCTGATGATGTAACTGTTTCTCTCTTCTAGAAACTGGCCTTCATGGTGTCTCTGGGCCTCGTAACACACGACCACTTGGAAGGTGAGTGATTGTTTGGAGGTTCTTCTTTTTCAGTGCTGATGTTGCAACCATGAAGGTTGCTGTATTAACGCTCTGATGTTTTGATTACAGAAATTCAGAGCAAAAGACAGGAGAGGAAGAGGAGAACGACGGCCAACCCGGTGTACAGCGGCGCCGTGTTTGAACCTGAGGTACAGACGTGTTTTAAAACCCAGTTTGTTTAAAATTCACACCATGCTGCGAGCAAGCACCTGGGTATCGGACTGATCAATCGTGATTGACCATCGTCATGCTGATAGAAGGCTGTAAAATTAATTACAATCAAATTTAGAGTAATGTTACTATCTGTGATGTTCCTGTATTTCATTTGGACCATCGGCTCAATGATACTAAGTAGCTTACCTGTAGGCCTTCCACCTCACTCCCTGCCTCTGGGAAGGTACTTCACTGGGAGGCGAGCAAATGGAAGCTTGGACCTTACCCGCTTTAGCAACTAGAATTCATCCAGCACAGACCCCAGCCCCGGGGTTCACAGAAGGTTGGTGGCCAGTGACAGCACTAGGTCTAACCTGTGTAACAGCAGCAACATAAAGTTTACTGATGCAGCAGGGAGTAATCAAACCCCTGGCAATAAGTCTGGCTCTGGCTGAATTCAAGTTGCTACAGTGCGCCAAGGGAAGGTCAGTCACTGCCAGTCCGCCGCTTCTTAATGTATATAACAGAAACACAGCATGTGTAGACTTTCTGTGTGTTGTGGTGGGTGCCAGTCGTTTGTTGACGTTTGCAGACTCCATTTCTAAGCAAACATTAGCTACTGTTAGCGCTGTAGAAGAGGTGAAAGCCCTTTTTACACAGAGCTGCTCCTAAGTCCCTTCTTTATGCCTCCTTTGCATTTTTACACAAAGACAAACGACGGCAGCATCATTGCACCTCAGTGTGTGATTTTAGACAGCATTCTGGCATCACTGAGTCAAAAGAGGAGTGACGGGCTTGCAATTAATTAACGATTATTCATATGTCATTACTACTGTTATATTTCATAACATGTTTTTTGTGTTTCCACTTCTTGTTGCAGAGGAAAAAGAGTGCAGTGAGTTACCTGAACAGCCCTCTGCACCAGGGGACCAGGAAGAGAGGTCCGTATGAAACACTGATCTACTGGTCCCAGACCAGCAACAACTGGTAGAACCAAACTAGAGACTGGGAGAGTAGAAGATACAGTAAGAGAAGCAGGGAAAGATACACGAGAACAGAATCAAGTAGAGACACAGTAGAGCTGTAAAGTGTAAGTAAAGATACAGCACAGTGAGTACAGTAGAAAACAGAGGAGCAGGTGCAGCTGTATCGAGGTCAGCAGAGGGTCAGTACAGTAGAAACAGTAGAACAGAGACTAATATCTGACTCAGTACTAATAACTTGCTCTTAAACAAGTCTTCCCTCCTCCTGCTGCTTCCTGCTTCCTGTTTCCTGTTGCTTCAGTCAGTTTAATGTCTTACAGCTGGATTTATATTTGTTTCACATGAGTCACCTCAGACATCAGCAGATTTGGAGATACGATAAGAAAAGTGATATTTCAGCTCAGGCTGCATCTGTTTCTCCGACAGGTTCTCTGCTCCTCTTCAGTAAACCTGCAGACATACATACTGTCATTGCCGCCCTCACAAAATGAACGACAGAAAAGAAACAGGATCACTCAGAGTATATAGTGTATTATTCAGATACTTTATCGTTACTTTATCACTGAAGGGGCAACACAGTGTATCTCAATATCTTGAATCATAACCCCTGATTCTAGATACATATCAAATTGTAAGTGTGGCAAAATAATGCAGTTTTTGAAAATCTATTTCTCTTTTCTTTTTCATAGTATGAAAACAAGAAAACACCATGTGATTAAAAACGTTTTATGATTCATCACCATCCCTGTAATATCATTGCACATTGCAAACTTAGCAAAAAGGAATTAACATTTGCATTTATCAGTAACAAAAATAAAATTGCCTTTAGGATGGGGTGCCAAGTAGGTCACCTGTTAGAGCAGACACCCCATGTAAAAAGGCTACATCCTTGCCTCAGTGGCCACAGGTTCAATTCCGAATTGCAGCCCTTTGCTGCATGTCATCCCCTCTCTGTCCCCCAGTGACGCTGCTACTGTCCTGTCAAACAAAGGCCAAAAAGCCCAAAAAATAATCTTCAGAAATCAATGTCATTTATCAAGACAGAGTCAAATATCAGCTGATTTCAGCCTCTTACATGGATGATCTGCTGTTTCTCTATTTTATATACAGTAATTATAAACTGACTTTATTTGTGTTTCAGAGAAAATGACTTTTTTAGATGTTTTACAGAATAACTATTTATTTAAATAATCAATTAATCAATCAATAATGAAAGTGATGATTGGCTGCAGCCTGAGCTGATCTATACACTAAATTACTTCCTGCTCTGTGGTTGTTTCTGACCTCTGGATGAAGAAGATATAAATCCATTTGAACCTTCACACCTGTTCTCTTCTCTGGGATTTGTTGCAAGGCATCCTGGGAAGTGTAGTCAGTTTACTGTTTAAAGCAGAAGAATCAGAGACAGGTCGAGTCCTAAACTTTGTGTTCAACATCACAGATTCCTGGCATGACTGAAAGTATCTGGGAGGAGTTTTTAATGAGTGATGTTTTAAATCTCTGCTGTTCAGTTCAGATCATTCAGAACACGATCACAGCGACTTGTGTGAACGTTAACTCGACTGTTAACAAGACTAACATGAGTTAGCTTTTATTACTTCACACCTCAAAACACTAAAACTGAATCCATGAAGCTTCCACTTACAGGTGACCCTCTGTTCAACTGAACCTCTAACACTGGATTCACATTTTATCAGGAGAAAAGACTAAAAGTTGATTCACGTGTAACTCACAGTGTCAGATTTTATCACAGCAGCCACCAGAACAAAGTGGAGGTGGTCATCACCAAAGGGCTGCAGCTGCTGAAAACACCGAGGTCTTTGGGGTTTATTTTTTTTAAATGTGGGGGAGTTTTACACAACAAATAAAAACTTTAACATGGTGGGTGTTTTAGAGGCTCATTTCAGTAAGTTTCAACTCAGTATATTTACATTTAAATAGATTCACCCAAAAACAGTACATCATAACTGATGAAAGCTCGGACTCAGTTATGATATAGGAATAAAATATAGTAGGTGGTAGACAAAAAACAAACCAATATCCCTCAGCTACTGAGACACTCCAAATGTCTGGCTTAGTGTGTGTGTTAGTAACAGTTATATTAAATTTAATTAAGGATACCTGAAATTTGATTTATTTTTTTTTTGTCTGTTATATTTCAGGTTTATGTAAAAATAAAAATATCAGCTGAGACATTACTTTTATTTTTTTATATTGATAGTTTAAAAAAAGAAAACATGTAAAAATGAATAATAAGTTTCTTTTATTAATTTATTTATTAGAAACTGCTCAAAGATAAGATAAGATATTCTTTAATGGTTCTCAGAGGGAAAATATTGATAAATAGAGAAGTAAAAATTAAATTAAAAAATAAGATTACATAAAATAAGAGATATATACAAGTAAAACAGTAGAGGTAAAATGAATAAATACAAATAAATGAAATAAATAACCCTAAATTACAAAAAATTAATAAGTCATTATTAAATAACAAGTAAATACATAAATTAAATAATAGTAATAAATAGTAATAAATCAATATGAAGTAAATAAAAAAATCAGAACATAAATAAAAATAAGAGTTATGAATAATTACTAAATAAGCAAATAAAAAATAAAGATAAAAGTAATAAATAATAATACATAATTATGAAACAAGTAAATAAAAAATTAGAACATAAATAAGTAAAAGTAATTGTTATACATAATTAGTCAATAAATAAATAAATAAAAATCATAGTAATTAATCGTAATACACAATAAGTGAATAAAAATAGTAAATAAATAAATAAAAATCATAGTAATTAATCGTAATACACAATAAGTGAATAAAAATAGTAAATAAATAAATAAAAATCATAGTTATAAATAAATAATTAATAAACAAGTAAGTAAATAAAAACAATATTCCTAATAAACAATTATTAATAAAGAATTACTTGAAGCATTCAAAACCAACTTTTGATGCCTGACACATTTTGGCTGGTACCCAAAAAACTTTGAGGTTTGTTACACAGCTCTAAAGGGCTCTAATTAAATACCAGTGGCATTATGGGAAATGTAGGATTCAGTACCCATACTAGACACTAAAAGTCAGGATATCTAATTTTTACCAGTGATTTTAGATTCTGTCTCTCGGGAGTCTCCAGACTGAACTTGACCTCAGTGTTTGTAACCAGCTGTCTGCAGCCCTGGTGACATCCCATAATAACATCAGGACCTGAACAGGTGACTGAGGTGTGATAACACCTGACACTGAGCTTCAGTAGGTTGTACTGGTGCTCGGCTTCAGCTCGCACATAGCCAGTCTCCTGCACTAACACTGCTGTCTGTGCTTCTGACTCCTCTTCCTCCTCTTCCTCCCTTACCGCTCCCCTGTCTCATGCTAGCCAACGAAGACTCCCTTTCCAAGGTATGTCATACAGACTGTTTGTTTTTGTTTTCTTCCCCCCTCTCCATCTTTCTTTTTTTTTCTTTGTTTTCCGTCTTTGTCGTCTGTCTCATTTCACCCAGGTCGCCCACCCAAATACAGCAGCGTCCCGGAGCTGGGCAGCCTCACCCCGACCTCCCCCTCCAGCCCCGTCCGTCCCCTCCCCCTGCCCAGCCCCAGCTCTGGGGATGTAAGTAACGATGGGGGAGACGGACAGTTCAGAGGGTTGGAAAGCCCGTCACACACAATCCTTATTGGCCCAGTAGCTCTGTCACTCATTTGCACCCCCAGGCATCCACAAACACTTCATTAGTTTGTTGTCTCCATGTGATAATCATCAGCCATCAGTTGATTTTTTACTTTCAGCCTTACAAAGTGAACAGTGTCCTGTAGACTCCATAATAACTACTACTCAGAGCACATTCTAACTCCCAGACGTCAAGTAACTTTTCTCTGTGGGCTCAGTAACGTAACACACACCATGTCCATTAGATATTAAAACCAGGCCGACTCAGATCATGGTGCCTCCCCCTGCCTCTCCACACATGGTTGGTGGGAAACTGATTGGTCCAATTCTTCCTCACAGGGAGACATCCATGAGGATTTCTGCACTGTGTGCAGACGCAGTGGCCAGTTGCTCATGTGCGACACGTGTTCTCGTGTTTATCACCTGGACTGCCTGGATCCACCCCTGAAAACCATTCCTAAAGGCATGTGGATCTGTCCAAAATGTCAAGATCAGGTAACCGCAGCAGCCGTGACTGATCCTGAGTCAGGGGGAAAGAGAAGGGCCAATCAGGGCCAGCAGCTGTACTTGACTGTAAAATCTGCTTTGTGCCACTCTGTCCTGAACTGTAGGACTGTTCAATCCTTTGTAAGCATAAACATGATGCAGTATGGTTTTTTTGTGCTTCTGTCCCATTCATTGTGTCAGTAAAGATTGGCATCTCACATCCATCCACTCCATTGCTTGTCCCTGTTCAGCCTCACCACAGGGTGGCGGCTAAATGTGTCTCCCCTTGAGTCTTTTCTAAGTCTCGACCTCTTTGACAACTGCGAGCTTCTCTCTGCAGATCCTGAAAAAAGAAGAAGCCATTCCCTGGCCTGGTACTCTGGCTATTGTTCATTCCTACATCGCCTACAAAGAAGGTGACGTTAGATCACTTTCACATCTGCATGTGAGCAACAGTTAACGGTGAGACTAACATTTTATTGGTCTCTGCTGCAGCTAAAGAAGAGGAGAAACAGAAGCTGATGAAATGGAGCTCTGAACTGAAACTGGAGCGAGAGCAGCTGGAGCAGAGAGTCAAACAGCTCAGCAACTCCATAACAGTAAGAAACTCTCTCAGACAGATCAGCAACACAATCACTAGAGATGGATCATGGTAGAGACGGTTAATAAAATATTCTGGTACTCTAAAGCCCCGTTTCCACCAAACACTTTCAGTATAGCCTTTGGAACCAAAAGTAACCCTTCAGACATGGTACCTAGACCCTAGTGTTTCCACAGCAAACAGTACTCTTAATTGTGGGCGGGGTTGTTGTCACTCATTGCTCCATCCAGTACAGTCACCATCCATTTGAGTGCAACCGAAAAGTTGTGTCACTCTAAGAGCTCCTGAGTGGACCTCATCCCTTTATATCTAGCGCTGCCTGCTTTAACCCTCCAACATCGCAGTTCCAGTTACATTGCGTATCTGTCATACCCCATAGCCCCCATTTTCCCAGGTTTCGGCTTGTCCAAAAAGAATATGGCGGCCAACTCATAACAAAGAAACTCATATTACAGTTGAACAGTAAGCAAAAATATGTTATATGAGGAAGAACAATCTGTAGTTGGACCAACAGTCCCAGAGCCAGAGAGAGGCTGAGCTGTGACATGAGCAGAGAGATCTAAGTGCTGGTTAGATGGAGGGAAGTTTGCCATAGTTCATTTACACATACTACTCACGTTATTATGATACAAAGCTGATTAAAAATCAGCAAAGCATCCTTTTGACTGTGCAGCTTGTCGACACAAACGCTTTAAAAAGTATCTTTCAGGGCATTGTAAAACTAGTTCATAGAGAGATGACAGGAAATGAGGGACAAACAAAAGCGACAAAAGTCACACTTCATGATCCGTGTGTGGACACACTGGTGTCCCAACATAAACACTTCACCTGACGGCCAAATATATTCAGTACTGCATGCAGATTTAATGAAAAGCTATCAAACCCCAACCATTGCCCCTCAAAAAGAAGACTCAGGTGTCTCAGAATTAAACATCTGTGAACTGACAGGACACACTGCTCCATAGTAGAAATATAGACTGATCTAGAATCTAGAGGCACCTGAACTTGAGGTGATAAATTACTCCTTGATAAATTATTTTTGGTTGTTCCTTAAATAAAATAAAATCTGACCATGTTGTTTTTCCTCCCTCAGAAATGCATGGAGACCAAAAACAGCATCCTGGCTCGTCAGAAAGACATGCATCTCTCCCTGGAGAAGGTCAAACACCTGATTCGCCTCATCCAAGCCTTCAATTTCAACCAGGCTCTGGCAGAGACAGAGGTGAAGGAGGCCAGTGCCAGAGTCCAGGACGGTGCTGAAGTTGCAGTCGGCTCTGAAGCAGCACCAGAAGCTAACTCTGTGGAGAAAGCGAAGGCTGGGAGCTCCTCAACCAGCAGCAGCACTGATGGAGACAACAAACCAGAGGAGCACGGAGCCGTAGGGAACAACCAGACAACAGGAGCAGCAGGAGCAGCAGGAACAGCAGGAGCAGCAGGAGGAGCAGCAGCGGGAGACACCGACAGCCAGGCTGTCCTAGAAGACAGCGCAGTCCTGACAGCAGAAAACAGCCCTGGTGTGGGGGCAGCAGGGGGTAAGGCAGGGCCTGGTGATGGGGTAGGGGGAGGGGGTGACACAGGGACTGGCCTTCAGGTGGAGGCTGTGGTGAAGCCTGAGACTGACGCAGCTCCGGTGGTTGACATTCCCGCTCCCTCAGTGGTCGCGCCTGTTGCCACCACCAACGGTACAGCCGAGCCGGCCTGCCCCGACCACAGCCCCGCAGGAGCCTGCACCACCAACGCCACCACCAACTCTGAGAACAAGATGGCTGCCGTCAACCCTCCAGAGACAGCGGTGGAGAAGAAACAAGAGGAGGTCACTGACAGTGACGGCAGCAGCAACAGCAACAACAACAACAGCAAAACCTCAGAACCCTCCCAGCATTCTTTGCCAGCTCTCGTCAGCAGTTTGGACAATAAAAAGTAATGCTACGTCTCTGCGGGAATTCAAACATATATATTAAAAAAAAAAAAAAAAGACTTTTGCTTGCACCGTCCGGTGCCCTGAAGTTGCCAATCTGTATAAATGTTGTTTGTTTGCATTGTATTGTCAGACTGTGTCAATGGTAGATATACAGCCCAAGTCACATGACTCTGGGAAGACGTAGGCTGCTCCACCCACAGAGCTGGGCTACAGGAAGGCTTACGCACCAGTGTCATCATGCCAATTAGTGATAGACGTCAGTGGTGGGAATGCTCAAAGGGAGATTTAATTCATCATCACACCAGTGTGTGCCTGTTATAGTGGCCCCTGTGTTCTCTTGTGGGGGGGGGAGGGGGGAGGGTTCACATGGGCACGGAGAAAACCGAGAACATGGAACCAAACATCTGTCAGGGGTTACTGGTCTACAAAGCAGTGTTGTGATAGAGTATGAGTACTGAAAAGAGAGCCTGTTCATTCCCTCGTCCCAACAAACTTAATGTGAACAACCTTTTACTTCTGCAGTCCCACCACCCCGAACTCCTCTAAACCTCTACCAACAAGTCGTATCCCTAAACCCTCCTTTGCCTGATCTTTAACAGACTTCCCCATCAAATACATCTTCAGTCAAAAAAAACGTTCCTGTCCAGTCCACCAACGATTCAGTTGAACCTTTCTCTTAAATCTAAAAAAGCTTCAGTATGCTTCAAATGAACTGCGTGTCTTATGAACACGTCTGAAGGCAAAAGTGTTCATCTGTTCTGAATGGCCACACTTGAAGGCGAGGTTAAAACTGTGAGGGATGTGTTGAATTCAAGAAAGGGGGTCACAGCTCACAGTTTCAGACAGTCTCTCCTAGAGGACGTCATGGTGTTGCACTTGTTTGTACACACCAAACAAAAAAGAAAAGAAGGTGAAACCATTACCACTTTGACACAGCAGCTCACCTGACCCCTTACTGCATTAAGGATATGAGATGTCGAAAATGTGGAGGAGGCTAATGTCTTTATACAAACTTCCTTAACTTCACCTTAACCTACAAACTATCCACAGTCTACTGAAAACCATGACCTCTCCCAATCAACCAGTAACCTCCCACTAAAACTGAAACCTGTCATTTCCTGTCCGCCAACGATTCCAATGTGACATCCCTCTTAAATCCAAAAGGTTTCAGTTGCTTCAAATGAGCAAGTTTGTACAAAGTGTCGTCCGAATGCCAACACTGGAAGGCGAGTTAAAAAGCTGGTTATTGTTATTGGAAAACCTGGACTTGCCTTCCCAGTCCACCATAATCCAATGTGACATCCCTTTTAAATGCCATCAAACAAACTTCACAGCCCTAACCCATGAACCAATTACTCACCTCTTTCTCTCCAGTCAATCGATGACTTTAAAATTCCCTTAATGAACAATAATCCAAATTCGAGTTCCTATGTATGTCTGGACATGTCTGGGAAGTCTTGTTCACTTGTGATGCTGTTTAATGTGTTTGTCTCAAGCGTACTGATTCCTTTAGACCAACGTACTCTAACCTCCCCATCAACCAACAAGTTAAACCTTCAAGTCTTCAGTCAACAGAAAAACCTTTACCATTTACTGATGGTGACTAAACCCAAACTTACCTTCCTTTAGTCCAGCAACAGTCAAATGTGACCTCCCCTCTAAACACCCAACAGCTCACTATGCTTAGAGTAAATTAGCTGAAATGAAGTGCCCTCTGAATCTTCACACAGGAAGGCGAGGTTGAACACTTGTCAGTGTAGAGATGTGCGAGATGAGAGAAATGGGTATAACGGAGCTCACTGTTGGATGGTCGCACTCGATTGTTCACGGTCTCACCACCAGTTTAGGAAAGTTACAAAATTTTGCGGATGTACTCCTTCGATTGCAGCGTCTGAACGGTCAAACACTGTCAAGTGCTCCATCAAACACTTTGTTTATGCCAGCATCCGTAGCCCCCCGGTCAGTGACTCAGACTGTGTTCAGACAACCAATATATCAATACATCATAAAAGTGTCATACAAACACATTCTGACACCTTTAAACCAACACCCCCCCTATCGCTAAAACCCAAATTTACCTTCTTCATTTGACCGATAGTGATCTTATACCCACAAGGATTCAGTATTATTCAAACAAATTAGTTTCAACACAGTATAACCAAACAGAACATTACAAAAAGGACTCCTATAACTCTTCACAAACCCATGCGACCACAAGTTGCTCCTACCACCAGGAAGTGAGCAGGGCCAGTTTTGAAGCCTGATTTCGTAGTGGTCAAATAGTGTAATTGCACCGTCACGTGATACCCTGTGGTCCAAAAAGACATTTTCCCATAGTCTTACATGGCAAAAGAGAAATCAGTGAATTCATTTTTCTGAGTGTCACAGTCCCTGCAAAGTGACTAGTTTCACTATCAAAATTTGATCCATTCGGCCTAATAACATTTGCAAAGTGTACAAGACAAATTAGCTGAGCACTAAACCAGAAGTAGCCGTCTCGTCATCTGTAGTGCGCTTACTCTATGGGCCACACAGTGTGGAAGCACCTCTTTTTTTATACCTGGCAATTACCATTTTGGGGCCCCGCCTCCAACACTGTATCTAGGATTCTTTATTCATCCATGGCTCCTAATCCTACAGGTGCGTTTCCCATAATTCCACCACTGCCAGTGTCATACCGAAATGACAAAATAGGTCGTATATGACCGTTAACTCTCACAGGTAAAAAACATGTGGTTAACACTGTGAAACGGCTGCTGTTGCACTTTTGAAAAAAGATCATGGTTTGGGTTTAAAAAAAAAAGCATGTTTCTTACTAAGGTAACTTGACATAGTTGACTTTTGGCTTCACATAGGACATGAAGAGGGTCAAAGTCTGGTGTTTGTTTGAAAGGTCCATCCACCCCGACCTCCTCCCTATGCAGACTTTGTCACTCTTTCTACTGCCTTATTTGACTTCCACCTTTGCTCACATCATAATTACTATGGCCACTAGAGGTCGCTGCCTAACAATAAAAGTAGATAGAGGCCATGAGAAGCTGCTATGTGGACAGTCTCAAACATTGTTAAGTGCAACCCCCACAGTTTCAGACATCAGGAAAGGTGTGGACAGGCACCATGTTTGAAGCGTACTGACGCTTTTAAACTGACTAACTTGCAAATCAGTCTGTGAACGGTGAACACTGACCTGTAGCCTTCACCTGGTGACTAAAACCCAAACTTCCCCAGTCCCCCAACAATTTGACCTCCTTCTGGAACCTGAACAACCCTCAACCAGAAACTGAAGACTCTTCCCTCTCCCAGTCGAGCAATGACCAAACGTCCCCTATCATCCAACCAACAGTCCCAGTTAACTCCCCCCTCCCCCGTCTCCTCCCTCCCCGCCTGTATCCCTGAGCTCAAGCAGAAAAGACGCAGGTATGGAGGACGAGGTGGAACAGGTGTCGTAGCCTAACAGATGTTTTCAGTGGTGTCGGTCAAGTGTAGTGATTGAGTTTTCATTCGTGAGTCAAGTGTGTCAACTGTGAGCACTAAATGTGAAATTGCAATATTGCAATGTCAACACACACACACATACACACACACAAACACACACAAACTATATCTGGGCTGTGTTTCTTTTTTATAGGAAAAGATATTCAGGTCTTCCTAGTCTTCAGAATAAGTGCTTTCTGTTCCTGAACCTGCTGGACTGGCATTATCAACACACAAAGGAGTGGTGATCTTTGCATTATGTACATTTCTGTTGAATCCTGAACTGCCAAAATGATGTTGTATCCAAATTCAGCAGGGACAAGTCCACTTACTGTATGGAAAGATCAAATCATTGGCGTTGTTGTAAGATACAGATGACGAGACCATTTCAGATATTGGAAGTCCCCAGATTGAGACAGGAGAGCTTATTAAACAATAACATTAGAGGAACTTCTTTTTCCTTGAGGTGGAGGGATTTGTTGTATGAACCTTCAGACGGATCTCAAAGGACAATACCACAAATCCTGAGATTAAAGCACAAGCTTGCTGCATTACAAAGAAGTGCTGAAGAGCTTTTTGTATGTTAATATGGAATTAAACAGAGTATGCATCTCTTTGTTGTGATGTGACTTATCCCCACATTGCCAATATTTTTCTAGGAGGAAACACAAACCTCTGTCTGACATTAAGGCTCAAGTCTAGTTCATATATTGTGGAGGAGGAGGAGGAGGAGTTGTTGGTCTCCTCGTGCATCTCTTTTCTTTCTGGAGCATGTCTGGGCTGAAATGTGATGCTGTTCTTCGTTGGCTTGGTGGCTGTCAGTTGGGGTCTGTCTTTGTCTGGTGAACTGATCATGACTTCTGGCTTCTCGTTGGGTTCGGGGCATTAACAAACTCTGGTCTGTTCATTAATGGTGCCTCTGGTTGTGCTTTTTCTGTTTCTTTCTTTTTGCATTATTGGAAGGTTTTTGCTTAAATTTCAGTCGTCCAAAAACGTATTCACCCCTGAAAGTGTTCAAGGTTCAGCTCTCCAAAGTTTTTTATGTTGAAATACTTTTATTACGTGTCATCTGTTTTTTATTGATGAGGAATTTGTAGCCATGCTAGCAGCATCCATCTATTGGTCCGACAGTCAGGCCACCGCTTTGGTCCAGAATAAAATATCTCAACAAGGATGAATTGTAATGAAATTCAGGTCAGACATTCGTGGTTCCAAGAGGACGACTCCTGACTTTGATGATCCTCCGCACCTTTTACTTAGCGCCACAGTAAAACAGCTATTGGATGGATTTTCCTGACATTTATTACAGATAGCCGTGGTGCCAAGAGGACAAATCAACCTAATCGGCAAAATAAATGTTGTCATTGTAAGGTTCTGCAAACCATGGATATGTGGCATATGTACATTGTTACGTAGCGGGAACGTTGAAAGGTTACACTTCTTCATGTTTAAACAGGGCTGTGGTTTACGTGTGATAGAGCTTTGATTGTTTGCCCAAACTCAATTTGGCCGACTCGACTGGCCAGGTTTGGATCTTGGACCGGGTCAGATTCTCACCAATTTACAGGTGTTTTTGTTTGTTTGTTTGTATTTGTGAAACTGGCAGTTCTTGTGTGTAAATGAATGATGGGACAGTGGAGGAATAGAGTGGAGAACTTGGGGACAGTGAGAGCTAGAGAATGACAGAAAGGAGACGAAGAGAAAGAGAGGAGGGCTGCAAGGTGACTTGGTTGGCAGTATTTGCTTCTGCCTCCCCAGCAGTGGGAGAGATGTGATCGACATCTGTGCCTCCGTAGACCGCCATGCGCACTCAAAAAAGGAGACGTGCCAAGGGGCGCGGTTCACTTTGCCAAACCTGTTATGCGTGAGACACAAAGCCGATGACAGACCATTGAAAAACCTCAGGATGAGAAGAAGTGGGGAGAGGAAGCGGCCCTTTTGCTTGGAATAAACATTTCAATATTATTAATATTTTTTAGTAGAAATTCTGGTTTTTAATCAGGCTAGGGTCCAAAACTGCTGCTGTGGTTCAGGCTCTGGTCAGGGTTGGACAGAAACTGTGCTAGTTCATGTAGGGTGAGGTCTGATATTTCATGCCTGATCAAAGCTTCACTATGTGGTTATGTTTAGGCACCAAAACCAATGCATTATAGGTAGGAAAATACAGTGTTTTGGCTTTAAATGCCTGGAATAAACAGCACTGTCTCCACTGAAAACGCAGCTGGTAACTAACAAACTGTTTTTGCTGTCTGTTGATCTTGAACAGTGGTCTGCAGCTCGGCAGGTGTTAGTTTCAAAATGATGATGTGACGTATGAATTTGACGAATCCATGGCTTGCAGAAACGTACAATGGCAACAGTTTCTTCTGGCAATGCTGGATGAATCCTAATGATTTGACACACAGTTCGGCTCAGATGTTCATGTTCTCCAGAATCCCCTTTACTTTAATAATTTTCATCGATCTCCATCATCAGGTCAAAACTCTAATGTGTCTGACACTTTGGTTTATGACCAGATACTTGCAGAACATCAGCATGTTGTCATTGTGAGCATGTTAGCATGTTGATGTTAGCATGTTGCCGAGCAGAACAGAGCTGCTAGCATGGCTGTAGGATAAAAGTTAGACAAAAAATAATGACTTCTGCAGAGACCAACAGTGTCATCTTCTAACTACAAAGGAAACATGTACATGGTTGTGTGGGTGAATACGTTGTTGGGCGACTCTAAAATAAGCTGTTACAGGTGTCTTTTTTTCATATCACATGGACTCTTGTAACTGAATCAGCATATCTTTATTTACACTTTATTTTGTGACATCAGCTGTACAAACTGCCTTCATTCAGAAGATCCCAGAAAAGAGAAAATCTGTGTGACATTGTTTGGCCACAGTTTTGTCTGATACATGTTGACGTGTCTGATGGAGAGTTCAGCCATTCGAACGTGGAAGAAAAAGACTGGCCAGGGACGCAGTTCTAACACGAAATGACCCCAAATCCCTCATGAATCCCGTTCATTGTGTGTTTTGTTCTCTGTCGGCTCACTCGGGTGGATCTTCTTCTTCTTCTTCTTCTTCTCTCGACGTGTCGTTCACTCGTTCATCTAGTCTCTTCACTTGACGAGGTTTTCTTTGAACGAGCCCGAGCTTGTGTTCCAGACAAACTGGACCTCTCCCTCTGTACAGTAGGTACCTCGAGTGCCTTTCTTCAAACAGCAGATAATATTTGTCTCTCGACTTGCACTGTGACTTGTAGAACCTTACTAACCCTCCAGATGATGCCCCGCCCTATCCCGCCCCGCTGTGCCCTGCCCTGCCCTGCCCCACCCTCCTCCGGTCTGTCCCGTGACCCGCTCCCTTCACCTCAGGCTGCCGGTAGTTGATGCAAGTGGAAACTACATTTCATATTATGCCATTTAGATTGACCAGATAGTGTTTTCTTGTTGTTTCTTATAGGAGTTGCCTTAAATGTGTTTTATTTTCCTTTTTACGTGATTTAACTTTTACATTAAGGAGAAGAAAAAAAAAATCACTGCAGACTCTGGCGAGCTCGTTCGGTCGCTGTGGTCGATAAAACGCTCCAAAGAGAGATTGTTTATTATGACATCTCTGCTGCGTGTGACAGCCAGCTGTTTGTGACGCACTTTTGGTTTGACCAGTATTATTATTATTATTATTATTATTATTATTATTAGAGTGTAACAAAGGGATCTGTCAGCAGCAACACGAATCACGGTCATAAATCCCGTCAGTCCTGACTCATCTCCTCCTGTGACTCGTGCATTGTTCCCTCTGTGCTGTGGTTCCTTCTTCTTGTGTTTTGGAGAGATGATGAGTTTGCTGAATCAGGTCATGTGAGCCGCCACCTGCGTGCATTTGGAGTGAACAAACGTAGACCCAATTAGCAACATCTGTCCACTCGGTCTGGTGGAACGCATGCCTTCTTATGCAAATTTTTATACAGGATTTGTCAAACCTTTTTAATATGCATTTGTTTTTTTAAGTTTTTATGTGAAACTCAAGTCACCTTTTTTCGTTGAACATTCTGGCATCGTGATGCCAAACGTGTGCAGTTTAGGTGTGAAACGGTACGGTGGTCATCCAGAGCGGAGACATTTTCTTCCTGACATTGTGTTTTATGGACGGTTTAGATTTTAATTTGGCTGATGCACAATGCTGAATGTTGGGATCCCAGCAGGGCTGAGAGGGGGATCGAGTCTTAAATCGTGTCCTCTTCTAGAGAAAAGGCCTCGGCTTCGATTTAGTCTAAGGGCTCATTTATGCTTGATGATGGGTACGGATACGGACGAAGCCTTCTGTCCATACTTTGCGTTAATTTTGCCCGTGTTTGTGGACGTTTTCTGAAAACTTTGGACAATTTGGCCAAAACAGAGATGTATCACCGTAGATTGTGGGGGCAGTGGAGCGTAGTTCAAGCGAGACGTGACTGTACAGCACGTTCTTATTACCAACTCGTCAAATACTACCGCTTTGTCAGTGATTTATGTGTCAGATACCACCACCAGGTGGTGTCAGCTTGAAATGCAGCCAACAACTATGTAACGTACAGAGCTGGAAAGTCTATAATGTCGGCGGATCAAACCAACCCCTGACTTTCCCCTGGGAGCTCGCTGTTTGCTTCCTGTGTGAGTTTTAAGCCAAACCATGATGATTTTAAATGAAGTAAAAGTAAAAACTAACTATTTACGAATGTTCTAAGCTGATTTTGAAAAGACTGTATTCATCTGACGAGCAGAGACTGTACATTTCCTGTGAAAATGGAAGTATATTTTGAAAAGACACAATGCATGTTACAAGCATAAATTGTTAGACCGTCCTGGACCACCAACAATAGACGCAGGAGGTTGCCTAGCGCATCATATTTAGACGTGTAAGTCCACTGACAAAGCAGCAGTATATGACGAGTTGGGATGAGAACGCATCGGACTGTAGGTGATGAGGAAGACGATTAAAAAATGTCAGAACGGAATGAATCAGTAGTGTAGTCAAGAGAATTTTCCGTCCACATATCGCGATGTACTTAATGGCCTCAAACACCACCGCCATTAAAAGGTACATCATTACGACCACCTCCACCGTCACCACATTTGTTGTCACTCTGCCCTCTAGAGCCATTCATTGGTTTTAGATATGCTTTCGTAAAGGACGTACGAGGGCAATCGCATGTACAACATTTGAAACGGATGTGTCTGTTTTCGTACGTGAAAGAAGTATAAATGAGCCCTAAAAGTGAATTTATCCAAAGAACACTGCAGACGTGCGTTTCTGTTGGGAAGCTTTTTGTGTTGCATATCATTTGGAAATGAATTTCAGCATCGTGTTTATTCACCGAGCCGTAAAAGGAGCATTTGTCGGCAGCTGAGAGCTCTTCAGTTTGTATTTGGATGAAGTCTTATATGCATTAAAACATGTCCAGTTCCTTGTGTGGCAGATTCTTCTGGAAGCATCCTGTAAAGTAGTTCACTCCGACTCCTGTCTTTTTTTTTGTTTGTTTGATTTTAGTTTTAAAACGATCAAGTCATGATTGTGGCCTTCTAGTATTCTGTCGATACATGACATCAACCCGTCGTTAGCCGTCGCTCAGCCTCCATCCTGTCCGGATCCAACTGTACACCTGAAGCTTCTTACCTCATCCACAGCTAATTCCATCGGGGGTGTGTTGAGTGCAAAAAAATAACAAAATAAAACAAAAAAAAATCAAAGTAAAAAACAAAAGAAGTCTTTTTTATCTTCCATTTGGTGAGATGCATTGTAGCGATATGAATAAAGAAAAAGTTCACCTGGTGTGCTGAATAATGTGTAAATTGGTAATTACACAATCTGAATATTTGTATAATTGTTTGTATTTTTTCATAATGATTTTGGAAAGGAATGTGTTTATTTTTTTGACTTCTGTTCCAGATGTGTCTTCTGTTGGCCTGACATTGTGACTGGTCTGGTGGGATTCTTACCTCTGTATTGAGCCTCTTCTGTGATGAATTCTTTGTATGCAGTGTTTAGGAAATACTGTAGGGAACATGGGGAGGAGTTGATATTAGGAGCATTTGATCAATTTGTATTTATTTATTTTATCATTTTGTTAATAAATTGTGAAAAGCAGGGTGTCTCGTCTGTTTGTTTTTTTTAATTTGTCATAAATTATTTGTCCTGTTGGGGGTCATGGGGGGCTGGAGCCTATCCCAGCTGACATTGGGTGAGAGGCAGGGTACACCCTGGACAGGTCACCAGACTATCACAGGGCTGACACATAGAGACAGACAACCATTCACACTCACATTCACACCTACGGACAATTTAGAGTCACCAATTAACCTGCATGTCTTTGGACTGTGGGAGGAAGCTGGAGTAACCCATCCTAACTCCACACATAAGGGCTTCCCCACCCCAGGGTTTAAACCCTCCACCTCGGATTTGAACCAGGAACCATCTCGCTGTGAGGTGACAATGCACTGCGCCACTGTTAAACAGTTTTATCAAATTTGGATAAAAGTCACCTGATAATCAGACTGAACTAACATTTAGTTTCAATTTATTATTCACTGTTGGAATGAGACGTGGACGACGGCGAACACCACCGCTCAAAGAAGATCATCACCTTTTGTTAAGGCTGGAGAGAAAAACACCCCACAACCATGATCAGCAACAGGACTTCTCACATCAGCAGCCGACTGGCAACTGAGAGTTGATCTTGGCAAGCAGCTGCAGTTTGCATCCTTCTGTCCGGACATGGTCATTTTTTCTGATCAACCAAACAAGCAATCATGGTGGAACTCACTGTACCCTGGGAGGAACGCATGGACGAAGCCTTAGGGTGCAAGACGACATGTTAAAGGAGAAGTCCGGTATTTTGCACTTTGAGCCCCATCTCTGGGTTGCTTATGATGAAACAGAGTGGCTAAGACCAAAATAGTGACGATGGCTCCTTTTTCTGAGAATTTGGCTTTCCCCTGCCTGGCTTAACACTGCTGCTTATGGCCATGTGTGAACCTGTCCTAAAACCACCCTAAATGTTTGTTTTCAAAGCCATGAAACTCACCGAGTGGTCAGTGGTGTTCGTTGATGTTCTGACATAAAAATCGTAGCAAACTGTGGTTTCCATCCGTGTTTTCGCTATTCATCTGGATTGTGGAACTACTTTTTCAGCTGCCTCACACCCGTATGTAAACTTCCGCTTGATCGTTTGTTTGACCCTGAAGCATTTTACACTGCAGCCCACTTGATGGCGATAATGCTCCTTTACGTGCGTGTCGCCAACCGGCAGGAAACCATTGCAATGTAATGGCACACAGAGAAGAAGCAGAAGAAGAAGGTTGGTATTGTGTTCAAAGGCATCGTACTGCAAAGGCTGTTTACAAGCGAGTAATCCATTGTGCAGGTGTTTAAACTTATTACAAAATGTTTTCCAGGAGCGCACACAGCACTGTCGAGCCGGCACTTTCGTCGAGCTAAAAGACTACAATGACTACAACCTTGTCATAAACAACCCCCTTTTTGTTTCCGGTGATGGATTACTACCAATGGACAATGAGGCTTCTATAGAAAATCAATGGATTAGACAAAATGTCAAATAAATCACCACGGAAACCACAGTTTGCTACGATTTTTATGTCAGATTATCAACGAACACCACTGACCACTCGGTGAGTTTCATGGCATTGAAAACGAACGTTTAGGGTGGTTTAGGACAGGTTCACACATGGCCATAGGCAGCAGTGTTAAGCCAGGCAGGGGAAAGCCAAATTCTCAGAAAAGGAGCCATCGTCATAATTTTGGTCTTAGCCACTCTATTTCATAATGAACAACTCAGAGATGGGGCTCAAAGTGCAAAATACCAGACTTCTCTTTTAAGACTCCTGTGTAGCCTACAACTGTGTTTTGCCTCCAGCTAATAAAATGACATCATTGTGACGTCGGCCCTAAAAGGGTCTATAATATAAAGTATGAATCAGTAACGATATCAGCGACTCTGGTCCTGTATTACTTGGTATGGGATTGAAACTAAATTTTGTGGCATCACCTACCTACCCAGGTGGTATGGTCCTAGCCAATCACAACACAGTAGGGCGGGGCTAGGCGAAACCTAGTTCAGTGGGTACAGTTTAACGTCCACAACAGCCCACTACACAATAGCTCATCCAAGAACAGAGAAAGAAGGAGAGACCGGAAGTTAGAAACCTTTCAGCCCTCAGCTGTGTAACTTCCGAGTGTCAGCCTGGATGTCTGGTGAGTGTTTATGCTGCGAAGTAAAAGTCAGAAACTCGGACATCAGTCGAGTCCGAGTTAAACAAACCTGACGTCACAGCAGTATGGCAGCACACTGGGAACCGAGTACAATTTACATTAGTCATTTTACTTTATGTTGTATTTTATGTGTTTGAAACCTAAAGTAACAACACTCCAGCTGCCATTTTTGTTTCCCTTCAGCTGATTTGTGCATGACAAAAGTCCTTGTGAGCATGTTTTATCCATGTCTGTCCACGCAAAACATGCACACAACACCTTGATGCTGTTGACCGATACACTTTTTAAAATTGCTTTTCGGTTATTTGATTAATGTGTACGTCATGTTACTTATTAAGGGTTTAGTTTGGGGCTTTGCGTTCGTAGAGTTCTCTTAATGTTTTAAATTTTCTAACTTTGAAATGTATTCTATATAAGTAAAGTTTATTATTATGAAAATTGATGGCACTATGTGTCACAGTTTTAAACCGCTGACTGTGTCATCTAATATTTTCTTGCAGACCACCTTTTCTGAAGCCAACATGCCCACAAACAGCCAAGTAAAGCGGAAGCGGCTGCGCGAGGCAAAAGTAAAGCGCCGTGCACGCGCAGCTGAGTCGGACGGAGCACGAGTTGCACGCCGAGCTCGGGACCTGGTCAGCAACAGCCGTGCACGAGACGAGGAGACGCGGAAGAAGCGAGCGGAGCGTCTCCAGGCAAGAAGCTAAAGCTTTCTGTAGCAGTGTTGAGTGTGAGGTTGTTTTTATGAGCGGTTACACGACAAACAGAAATACCAGTGTCAGTCAGTCCGTGCTGAAAGGGTTAAATTACCATCTGTTTGATAATGGAAGTCGTAGAGCAGAGTGGCGCAGCGGAAGCGTGCTGGGCCCATAACCCAGAGGTCGATGGATCGAAACCATCCTCTGCTAGTGTTATTTTTTCAGCAGTAGGATAATGGCGGACTGAAAGTAAAACAATCCTGCGTAATTTATTCTAACAATAAACTAAATACGGTGATTTTATTTTACAAAATACATTTTAATACACATTTAATAAGATATAAATTCAGTGTTTTACAGGCTTTCTCGTTATAGCAAAATGGTTTTAATGTACTGTTTGGGTTCAGTTTCACAATCCAGAAATGATGGGCTGTGTTTGTAGTAGCCCATTTATATCTATTATATGCCACCATGATTAGTAATAATGTTGGGAAGTTTAAGTCAATCATAATTGTAAAAGTGACTTATTACTGTTGCTGATATACTGTCAGTTAAACAAATGAAAATAAAAAATAGGCATGTGTGTCATTCAGTGGTGAAAATAAGGCAAAGAAGCCTAAAAACGTAAACTTGAGACCGTAAGTAGTCAAAACTTAGCTAACAACTAACCCGACCAATTAATAAGCCTGCTCTAATTGTTTGTAGCCTACTAATTGTTTGTTCAGAAATGCAGGGAGGATGGAAAAGAGGAAACAGTTGAAAAAACAACAAAATAAACTGTTACTTTTGCATCTACTGATTCTGTAACAACAACAATTGTGTGTCGGGTCATTTGGAGTCCTGTGTACATGTCTTTGTTAAGTTTTGTCAGAGGTGTTTTGGCTGGGTCAATCATGTCTATCACTTTCAGTGATAGTTTTACCAAATTTGCAATTTTCTTTTTAGCTGGACTGTCAGTGTATCACACCTGAGCTTGAAGAAGATACACACCATGGTACATGAAAAAGAAAAAATATATCGACGCGTCAACATAGAGCCTACGCCAGAGCCTGACGTCACCTACCCAGAAATGTTACCGGCAACGCAGACCTCCTGTCTGTTTTTATAAGCTGAAACCATTTCCCTCAGTGGAAATGAAGCTTTTACTTACTTTCATTTCACAGATATTCACAAAAATAACATTTAAAGTTTTGTTTGTGATTTATCCTGACTTTATATGAGCAGAGGAAATCTCCACTCATCGCTAGGCTAATTTATGCAATGTAAAATGCCATAGGCTTGTGCTAATAACGTTACCATGTTATATTTGTTTGGAAAGTATAAGACAGTTGTTTTGTCAGTGACCCTTGTGAGTTGTAATGGAGCTGAATTTTGTAACGTTACCTTTGTTAAATATTGCTGGCGTTGTCTCTGGCTTCATATGCAAAGAGAAAGTCTGCTAGCTGCTAGCCTAATTTTTACATAGGCGTGTGCTAATAACGTTAGCATGTTGTATTTGTGGGGAAAATGTGTACGGATTAACACAAATGCTTTGTCTGTGAATGCTGCGAAGCCGATTTGTGTACTTGTGTTTGAAATTGTCTACATTAAGCTATGTTTTGAAACAACTAAACCAAAGACAGTGGATAAACCATATATATATTATAATACAGTATCTGACTAAACTTTACAGCACTTCACGCCGCCGACTAGTGTTTTAGAGGTGTAACTGCAGTGACACAGACACACCACCACACAAGTATAAAATGCTCACAATGGCGAAGGGTCCAATTACAGCCAGGACCCTCTTGTAGGGTCCGCCACAAAAATATAAATCCCGTTAATGAGAGGAGGAGGTATCCCGAGACTGGACTCGAACTCCCAACGTTGCGGGTGTCCCGTAGTTTTCGAGCATGCGCTGTAACCTCTCATCCCCACAGTGTTTGGGGTCACGTGACCCCGGACCCCACAGTGTTTGGGGTCCGGGGTCACGTGACGTCCGGCCGCAGTGTATTGTGGGAGCTCAGCCACAACTGTTGGCGGTTATTTCGTCGACTGTTTATATTTTTTTAGTAACTGTCTGTGTGTCTGTCGGTCAGGTATCGATGGGGGGAAGAAACTGCTGCGTGATAAACTGCCGCCGCAGATCTCATGACCACCTCGGGAGGAAGATCCCAAACG